ACACAGCAAGAAATGTAAATACAATCAAAAAGTTAAATCAAATTCTAGCAACCCCTTTTCGAAAGTTCTGCTGTTATTAGCCGATAACAATTCCGGTGACATACGTCCAAACCATCCAGCACAGCGATACAATGAACAGTTAAAGAGACCAGCATAACTAATTTTCCCCAGTCTAGGGTAGCGTAGGTTAAATCCTCCTTGTCTGCAACTAATTGGTCTGAAGACCCAAAAGGCTCTTGAAGGCAGTGTCCGGGCAGAAACTCGATTTCTAGAAAATCCACTTATCGGGGGTTATCCGCAACGCTGAACCCGAAAATCCACACTAGAAGGTGCGAAAACGGCGAGAACATACGTTTTCCAAAGTCGCACAATTTTTTCGACGGTTCCCATCAAGGCAGACGCAGAGTCGCTGCGGGACCCACACTTCACTTTTGCCCGCCCCAATATGACTGCAACTGATGCACCGACTGCAGTATGAAACAACTCTATGCGGCAGAGTACGCATGCCGCCACAATTGAAGTGTGGGTCCCGCAGCGACTCTGCGTCTGCCTTGGTGGGAACCATCGAAAAAATTGTGCGACTTTGGAAAACGTATGTTCTCGCCGTTTTCGCACCTTCTAGTGTGGGTTTTCGGGTTCAGCGTTGCGGATAACCCCAAAAAGTGGATTTCCTAGAAATCGAGTTTCTGCCCGGACACTGCCTTCAAGAGGAGGAATTCGGACAGCTCGGAGGACCCCGCCCCCCAAGCGTAAGTTTCACACTTTCCGGTCGCTTTTCTTGCCTTAGGTCGAGCGTTATGACTTGCGCGATGTTGTGTTTGAGGGGGGCTACTCTCCTATGTCACTGGAATCCCAAAACTCCCATCTTGCCTGGACACTGCCTTGAAATCAATTTCTCCGCGGAGTGTCCGAAAACAGAACAGAAGATCAGCCTTGGTCCTCCTCTTACTCAAAGTCATTAAACGTTAGTCTGAGTCATTCTTCATAATTTGGAAAAGGTCTGCCACATGAGTTCCGGGTTACTCGAAAGATGATCATTCTTGTGAAAACACGTTGAAGTTTTTTCACCTTCGAAATCAACTTTTTTAGATGTCGGACTCCAAGCTTGAGAACAGATGAGGGAGGATATATATATAGGATTTATTACTCAAGATGAGGGAGCATGTATGCTTTGTACAGTCTTATCAACACTGCTTGGTGCAGGAATGGATATTCCGAAAGGCTGCGAAAAGATTCTTTACAATATGGTCAATATGTTCATTGAAAGTTAGACGAGAATCAATATCTCTGACCATCAAAATCATTACTAATTCTAATATGGTTCCATTAACTAAATAATTACTTGGGTCGTGCTTTCCTAAGTGCAAAAAGTAGCACTTGTTGGCGTTCAATGAAAGACCATTATTGATAGCCCAAGTATTCAAGTATTTTGTCAATTGACAGTTGCAGTGAAGTGTGCACTTCAGGGTAAACTCATCATACGAAGCATAGACTTTGATACCGTCAGCATGAATTTGCAGCTTGACCTCCAACGAGTTTAGAATGGCGGGGAGTTCGATGGTAACAATCAGAAATTTTAAGGGGGACAGAACTCACCCTGAGGCGCGCAAGAGCGGTGTTCTTTCCTTTTTATTATTTCGCCTAATATCCGCTTTTCTACGCCTGTTTTTCAAACAACTTTTCCCATTATTTTTCCCGATATAGATTCTTCATATCATTGGAAAGCTCTCTTCATGTACTTTCTAACAATTGTAGAATTACGTTTTTATCCCATCCAGGGCCCAAGACCAGCTGGCACGGGGCAAGCTGGATATCTTCTTGGGGCAAAAAGCAAAGGGGATATCGTTTTTGTCGACAAATCGCGTTTTTTTTAGTCGACGTTTTGCTTTTTGGATTTATTTACGTTTAAGGTTTAGGGTCAAGCGGTACTTCGTAAAACTTAGCGTCGTGCCGAGCCCTGATCCCATCTGTGAGAATTCTACAACATTTTGCATATCCGCACTCAGGATCGAAATTTCGATGCTTTAGCTTTCCTGGCCACGATTCAGGCGCAAATGAATAAATTCTTATGAAAACATAGCTACTGTATGGAATGAATATTGTTTATATATTGCTTGTTTAATAAATTTTTCAAATATACAGGGTGTCCTAAAAGTATGTATACACTGTTTGATCGTTCATATTTTTCTTCCCAAGGAGTCTACCTACCTTCCCATTTTGTAGAGTTAGCTTCAACTTAGATTCACAGTACGCAGCGAATCAGCGATCGCTCTTCGATACCGTAGGATTATGGTAAGAACTTTTGGCTTACAGCGTCACCGTGGTTTCAAAAAAAGCTTCCAAAAATTCTGAAAAGTGGTGCACCAGGGTTTTTAACACGTTTCGGACCGCGAAATCGCGCGCGGCAAAAAAGAGGGTAGTTTCAGGCCCTAGCCAACAAAGGAACCTTAATTCGTAGACTGTATGCTACATTTGTAATCAGCATGTCAGATAAGATCCATACCCAGAGTTCTGGATGAATTCGAAGTGTTTGAATTTTGTCGTCTGAGAAGGACTTCTGTGCTTTCTTGAAGGATAAGAACAAGAACTCAGTTTCTAATTGTATCCAAAAGTATCTATGTTGTACAGGATACACATCATTATTGGAACTACGGTTTTTCTCTTTGTATTCAAAGCTAAGAAAAGTTGCGACGTCGCACCCGTCGTTCGCGTTGCCGCACTTCGATGCAACTGATGTTCGATTTGTCCTCATATCTCCTGAACAAATACAGATGGCACAGCTCTACAGACCCTTTCGAAAAGGAGGAGCTTAGGCCTTTGACTTGATAACCTTGGACAAAAAGAAAAGCTCCTGTAAACGTTGGAAAGATCCTTCAAAGGCGCGCGCTGCACCATGTGCAGCACCGGTCCGAAACAGTTAAGTATGTTGATATCAATCTAGGAGTTTGTAAACCTTTCCAACGGGTGTGATTGCAATTTTAGGGAGCATCGTAAAAAGAGCTGTTACGGTTTACCGGGCATAAGTCATGAAGGAAGCATCGCGGTCAAGTGCAAAGTTCATATTTGGTTTTAGCGACTTTAACTAGTTTAACGTAAGAGTTTACAGAATGTATGGTCTGCTTTCTAAGGCAGAATAGAACCCTAATGGCTCAAAATCCTCCTTGAAGTTCCTACCGTAATCCTACAGTAGTGAACGAAAACAGTTGATTCTCTCCATACTGTGAATCTAAGTTGAAGCCTGCTTTACAGTAACGGTATTTGAAGGCCGGCAAAAGACTTCCAGGGAAAAGAGATGTTGATGAATATACAGTGTATACATACTTTTGGGACACCCCGTATACAGGCTGAGATATCGATGTCCCAAAATAGGTGCTCGCTACCTAGTATTCTATGGCAAGGCTCGTTACGAGCTGGCACCAGGGAAAATTCAAAAAGAAGTCCCGTTTGATATTGGGAATTTCGTGCGAAATCCCTTTTGACCTGTTTTGAAAACCCGTCTCATTTTTATATTATGTAAAAGTATGTAGTAGTGTTTTCATGCATTTCTGATTTCATGGAACAACTTTTCACAGCCTTCTGAGTTTTTTAAGTGGTCGAATCACATCTTGAGAAGCAGAAAAGGCCGATTTTTTGACTGCGGAGCAGACCGAGTGGTTTTCAAATTGCCATAAAACGTGAAAAGAGGACATTATGAAACTGTTTCTTCTCCGTATGTAATCTTTCACAGTGTAGATACATTTTATGTAAAAAAGTATGAAAACTTATGTGAGCAAAATGTCGGTGCCAGTTTAGCTGGCACCTAGCTGGCACGGTGCCAGCTAATTCAGAAAAAAGTTCGGCACAGCTTTCATTCACATAAGGTTTCATAAATTTTTGGCCCGTAGTTCCGGTCCACCAACGCGCATGCACACACCAAATTTGGTGTCATACAATTGCGTTTTGGCTGAAAACAACGCCTTTGTTTGTTGATGGACAGCTTGCCAATGGCATGCCGGTGGCATGCCGGCGGCATTTTTGCGGCAGTTCTCCGCCTCGGCCCCTGTAGAAACGATATCCCCTTTACTTTCCGCCCTTAAAACGATATCCAGCTTGACCCTGTGCCAGCTGTGCTGAGTCCTGTTTCATGGGTTAAGCAGGTTTTCTGATAGGAAGTTGCCGAAGCTCCGCTCATTTCTGTATGCCTGAGATCAGGAAAGCTTAGCATTGCATGAATCCAAATTTTCATAGTTGGGAACTTTTGACCTACCAGGCTCAAAAAAGTGAACAATCATGGATTTTTTTTCCTTTCGCAGAACTCCATCGCTGAAGTTCTTTCTACATAAAGACATACTACTGGGTTGCGTCTACAAAATAAGCTGATTAGCAGGAATAAGATCAAAACTTGAAGGAAGTTGTAATGCTTGAAAGACAAGGTTTTCGAAAGAAAAAGTTTTGTTTTTCACGCATAGTTCTCTTCCCGTTTGCGATACAATAGAAGCGGGTACACGCTAGGTAACGGAAGGTTTACTGCTTTTTAGGAACTTGATTGTATTCAAAATGAAGACTGGACAAAATTATAGCTTTTCAAAGTAGAACTTTGCAAAACGGACATTGTTTTTGCAACAAAATACAAAGTTCCAACTATCAAAACAGTCTTACTTTTACATGCAAAGTATGAAATTTTTTGTTTGCAAACTGATATTTATTGTGCAGATAACATGCGCATGACGAAGTTACCTATTCTTCATTAACATTTTTCCAGCCGTTGTTTTAGCTTGCCAAATCCCCTGATGTAGACGGCCAATGTGTTTATTTTACTCGGTATTTTTTCATTTTTCCGTCATAATCTTTAACTTCAATGTAACGAAAAGCTTCCGAACTACATAACTCGGCGACTTAGCATTCATCAGTGATTTAGTGATTTCTACTCTCATGTTCCGATGCAGGCCTGCGTTAGTGTGGCACTTTAAATTCATTATATACCATGTACGATGCCAATCCAGTATGCTAGATGTAAATCTTTATGATGTGCAGACAATATTTTCCATTGGAATCTTTCCACCTGGTGTTTCAGCTTGCCAAATCCCCTTGATGCAGTAAGCTAGAGCAAGTTCTTCCACTTCGTATCTCTTCGATTTAGCAGCAGAATCTATGATTTCTACAGAGCGAAAACTTTCCGGACATCTTAACTCGGCAACAGAGCAATCATCGATGATTCTCAGTGTGATTCCTACAGCATCACACTTTTCGGGCTTGCAGTGGTCCGGGTCTGATTCAGGTCTACGACAGTGCTGGCACTCTAAATTGCTTCTTTCATAACAGTGGAGGAGTCAACATTGATTAGATTTAGATTTAGCTACCAGGCAATCCCTCATACTCATCATCCGGTGTTGTTGTAGGTGCCTTTGTAGTAGAATTTTGCACTTGTATCGTTGTAGCTTTACTAGACGACGTTTTGTGATGTTTAGTTCTATCTGTAGTGAATTAAGATAGAGCTCATAAAGAATATTAGGTCAAGCCGAATGCTCGCTTGCAACAATGAAAAATTATATTTTCTTCGCATCTTGATGGATTTCTCCAATAGACTTTATATTTGTATTTAAACAGAAGTCATGCACGAGAGCTACAAACAAAGGAAGAAGATTACTCAAGATTGACATTTTAGAGCAAGGTAAAAAAAAATTACTAGAAGCTATTTTGCTTGAAAACGAAAAATATATGCACTACATTTATACCTTGGCCGTTATTAGTATGAGATGCGAAAGATAGAAGCAGATAAAGAAAATTACTCAAAAACGCATTTTTCAAGCAAAGACCAAAATACTAAATGGCCGCAGTGGAAAAAGTAGGAGTGAATCCACGAGTTTGTTCTTTGTGTAAAGCTCATGATTTCTGTTTCCAAGCAGATAGTACTTGTGGAAAAATGCATCTAGATTCAGAAGGTTTGAATTTTTGAAAATGTTGCTAACAACGTTTTGGACCAACCGAAAATTTTGAAGCAGTGTCCATAATTGGACCCGTAAATGGCGATCAAAATGAGCTGTTTTGCGCAAAATCTGATAGCATACCTTTCGCAGCTTGCAAGTCACGTTTTGTCCAATCCTCTACAATTTTGTTTGTCTCTAAACTCAAACTTGAATCTGCTGGGAAAGTCCGACCTAGAAAGTAAAAATATGTTCTTTTGATTCGTGCGATTTCTGGCATCTGATCGTACCTCTAACTCCTTGCAAAGTGGTCCCTGATTTGTGCAGTATCTGATTACCAGAATTTTGACTTGAACCACGCTGAGCAGGCTTACCAGGATGACAAGTAAAAGATAGCTGAGGTATGGCTAGAAGGTAGAGAATGAGCAGATGCATAGCCGAGGCGATTACGTTATGGTCATCAGTCTTTTATTGCGCTATGCATCAACTCGATTTGATGCTAATCGTACCAGCCGGATTTTGACGTAAATTATCAGAAGCACTTTAGCCGCAGTCGCGTTGATATTCCATCAAAAACTTGATTTGTAAGTCGCCAAGCTTATACGCTGACTTCAGTATTTCAGATGATTGGGATTATAGAATTATGAGGTATATTAGGTTGTCCAGAAGTATACTCCTTTTTCAAATATTTCAAGCCGTTTTTGTTTTCGCTGTAGATTTAGCGTATCACTCGAAAGAGCACATCAAGCTCTACGAAACGACCACCAAGAATTTGCCTAACTCGCATTCTATGGAAAGTATGAAACCAAAATCGAAAAAAAAGCTCTCACATTGTCAGATGGAAATCAGATTTGTGCGAGGAAGAATCCTACGGACCTCTTATTTGGTCATTATACAGTAGGCACGTAATAGTACTCAAATATGCCTTTAGCAGGTTTAGTCCGAAAGTGTCAAAGTCCGCTTCAGCCCCTCACATATGTCATTATATACTACAAACCTTAACTAATGGTAAATATAACCTTAAAACATTACCCCCTGTATGTGCTCTGATAATCGAGAACTACCAGTTTAATGGAAAACCCAATAACTGGCATTTTGGCATACACGGACCATTTTTGTTTCTCAGTTTTGAGTGCCGAAAATCCAACAAACACATTTTTGGGTACTGCTTTGTGGCTACTATAAAAAGACCTAGTTGGAAGTCCGTAGGAGTTTGCTGGAAGAATCCGATTTCAAGTAGTTGAAAAATTTCAATTTTTGGCCTTAAGCTTTACCTAGCCTGTAGAGCTTGCTGTCCGCTTTATCGAATGGTACCCTACACCCTAAGTCCTTTAGGAAACCAAAAACAGCTCGATTGATTAAAAAATGGAGTTTACTTTTGGGACAACCTAATATTTATGAGAGTTCAATACTTGGAAGATCAGACGGGATATTGACTTTTATGCATCAACCGCTTCCAACATTTTCACTGAAGTTTACCAAGCCATGTTTTCACGCATTTTGGCAGTAAATTATAGACTATCCGAGATGATAGCATTGCCTCTGGGCGTGTGCATCCTAATACCTCAAAATCACAAAATCAAGATGAAATTATCTTCTAGTGCCTGACGACCGCTTCTTCTTTGCCAAGGCTCCGCTTAGGGTATTCGATCCTGACGACTCCACAGACTACTGCTCAAACTCTGCTTTTCCATTCTTTCTTAGACTGTAGATGAATGATCACATAATCTTGAGCGCAAAGCGAATAAGTGACTGTTGGCTACAAACTACTCAGATCTATGGTACAATACATGTCAAAACAAATTTTTAACAATCTTCGGGCTAAGAGATTTTTCCAGATAATGTTAGATTTCAAGGGCTTCCCAAGCGCTTTGACCCCATAGACTGGCGACGTAATTAAGTGTCAAATACCTTTTTCATTCTCTGTTTTCCAGACTCAGTTCACATTTTTTCAGTTGATTTAGAACATTTACGAGGAGTTTGATGGAGCAGGGTAAGATCTTTCGGAAGCACATGCTCATTTTAATTAAATTACCAAGAAATATTTGATTGAGGAATGCATACGAGACTTCTTGGTTGTTACGGAAGAAACTGAGCAATTTACTCCACTCTCCCTCTCTCAGAAATCTATCCTTTTGCAGAAGTCCAAGAGTGAGGGGAAAACAGAGTCTTTACGCAATTCGTCTCAAACGTTAAACCGGCGACGCATTGTAAAAGAAGGGCTCTTATATTGGGTCGTTCCGAAAGTGATGTCGTTTTTTTCAAGTGAACGCTATATTTCGTGGAAGCAAGGTTTCTAGGAGATCTTGGTAGCATTCGATGCATCATTCTATCCTCTTTCTAAAGACTATAACATCACTGCAGAATACTCAATGAGCTTTTACAAAATTACTAAAATCTCCAACCCATCCTTTTTGGGAAGGTCAATTTTCACAGTTCTTCTAATCTATTGTAATAACTCCCGGAAGGAGTCCAAGTAATGGATGGATAGAGCAAACCCTATAGGAAACGGTACCGCCCTCTTCTGCTTTCCGTATCTCGTCATAATTTTTGTAGAGATTTTTCAAAGAAGTCACCGAATTTTTGCAGGCTTGTCTCAAACACATATGCATCAAACACCAATAAACTTTCGGATTTTGAAACTTACAAAGGTGGATTATGGTTTAACACTAACTTTGTAATGCAAATGAGCGCTTACCGCTTTAGATTAGCAACTTTAGAACATTTCGGGTACAGCCTGGGGCGCCCTGGAAAAGCTGAATTATGATGATTTTTTCCCGGCACACTTTATGAATCGGAAACCAAAAACAACTGGTAAGAAGAGGAGAAAAAGCTGCGTCGAGTGACACCCGAGTTGCTTGCCGGTTGTTGTTCTGTGAGGTTTGAGCTGACCAAATATGGAATTTGATAGCACTCAAAAACAGGGCACGGCACAAGTGGCTTAGCAAGCAAGCTGGATATCGTTTTTGGGGAAAAAGCAAAGGGGATAATATCGTTATTGCGGAAGAGCATAACGTTGTCTTTCGATCTGCGGCCGGCACGCTGCCGGCATGCCGCCAGCAAATAAACAAAGGGTTTGTTTACAGCGAAGTGAAGATGAAATGACACCAAAATAAGTGTGTAGATGGGCAATGGGGAGTTAGGACTAAGTATGAAAAATTATGAAAAAATTATGTGAACTAAAGGCGTGCTCGACTTTTTTCGGAGTTAGGTGGCTTTCAAGCCACCTGGATAGCCACCTGAGGTGGCTTAGGAAAGAAAAAGTCATAAATTTTTCCTCCCTCACATAATTTTTCTACTTTCTTTACATACTTTTCATCTACATCCCAAACCCTACAAACTGGTTCCTAAACCGCCTCAAACCCCCTTCTCCCCGCTTAGTTATAGCCCCTCGAAAATTTTGAATGGCGGCGGAAAGGCTGCTCTAGGCGCGTATTGCTGCACGATGGATACATCATGCCGCCAATCCGGAGAATATGAATATCATCGCGTGTGTTCGATGATTCTTTTTCGTTTTTTTTCCTACTGTTGCTTTGTTCCGTTCCATTTCATGTATTTTCTCTTCGAATATCTCGTGGCGGATGTCGTAATTTCATTGAAGTCAAAGGGGACATCATTTTTTGCAATTTCGGGACGCCACCTCGTGCCGAGCCCTGGTCTAGGGTCAAAGGGGACTTCGTAAAAAATCGCAAAAGTCAAGGGGGAGTTCGTTTTTTGCATTTTCAGCTAGCCACCTCGTGCCGAGCCCTGCTCAAAAATTGATTCTACAAACTCTAAGAAGCAAATTAAGGAAAAGAAAAAAATTGTTTTGTGGCCTATAGGATTTGCCCTATTTATCTGTTACTTGTACATCTTCGGGGAATCAGTACGAAAATATAGAAAAATAGCCGAATTTGAGTATGACAAAAAGCATGAGTCGCAGCTTTTGGTAATTTTTTAAGAGCTCATTGAATATAATGCAATGAAGTTACAACCATTAGAAAGAGGACGAAAAGCTGCATCGAATGATCCTAAAAGCTTTTGAAAATCTTGGTTCCGCGAAATGTGGCGTTCATTTGAAAAATGCGACATTACTTTCGGAATGACCTAATACATAGTTAATGGTTTTCAGACTTCTTCGTTTGCCACAAAAATTTTACTCTGTTATGCATTTTGCCGCCTCGATGATCTTTCAGCTCTTTGAACAAAAAGCGCTGGCTATTTGGAGGGGTGAGTCATAGGGAATGTGTTTGTTCTGTATAGAATAACCTACAGTCCACAAGGTATTTCATGTATAGCTGCTTTGCTGTGAGACTTTTCTTTCTTTAGAAGCTCTTCACATTTGGATAACAACTGTACAGCAAATAAATCATAAAAACTGAAAATTTTGATCAAAAATTAGGCAATGAATATTAGCACACGGTCACAAACTTCGTCTCTGTTTTTGTTTCCTCTTTAGGTAAGATACATTCTTCAGAATGTGTCTCGATGGGTGGACCACAACACCAGAGGTCCTGAATATGGCAGAATGAAGTTATCAAACAGAACTCGTCAGCCTAACCTTTGTCATCCATAATATTGTGGTCAACCACAGAAATAGCAGCAACCATCCCAACCGACAGATCTGTTGCTCTCTATAATCATATAGCAAAGCTTGAGTACAAATGGATAGGGGAGAGGGGTAGAAATTTAGCTTCAACCAGATTACGACTACTATAAGGTCCATACCTGGATATGTGGCAGAAAAACTGGTGAGTGGTACAATTTGCCGTTGGGAACATGAAATCACATTTTCATCTGGTTTAAATGAGTTCTGTAATTATAGTGAATGTTAAAAATCAAACAAAAAAATTTTATGGACAAGATCAGATAAAGAACAACAATGATCGTCATAAAATGTGCGGTTCACACAAATTGAACAACAGCAACGAGGATATCTCAAAAGTTTGTCGGCACTGGTGGAGAAATATTGCGTAAAATATCATTTTTAATCAATAATGGCTTTCTACAATGGAAGCCTACAGTATTGCTATTCTCTGAATACGAAGGTACAGAGGAAATTTTTTCTGGAGAAAAGTCCCCGCTAGGATTTCTACCATAACAAAATTGCCAACTTAAGGAGTTTTGTGTAAACTCAAAGCCATTTTTGCATATTTGGGGATAATTGGTGCGTGTAAATTATCTTCTATTCGTAATTTTCGCAAATGCTTGAATCATAATTCACAATATCCTGAGCACCCACTTAGAAACACTTAGAAGTGTTTTAGACTTGGCTGAGAGATTTTTGCTTGCCTGACAACATTTTTGGAAACTGCTTAAAAAAAAAAAGAAATTGGGAAGAGGTGATTAATTACTGAGGCCTAATTAAGTTCCTTGACTATTTCTAGGTACAACACCGCCCACATTTTTTGAGACGCGAATGTACATATATGCATGGATGGACTTGTCGCTACATGTATGGGCATCACCGTCGTGTGGCCAAATCTCGCTTCAGAGTGTACGAATTCTAAACCCAAAGGCACCATTCCATTCAGCTCGGCGCGGAGAATCTTCTGAATTCGATGAAAGTGGAGGTACGATGTCTTCGATCCGTCTGGTTTTTTTGAAATTCTTCTGCGGAGATCCTTTCCCGAATATGTGAAGCAGCGCGTATCCAACATAGAAGAATTAACTGAGAACTATTTGATAATACTGTTCTTGTAGATTATTGTGAATATTCCTTCTCTCCGAAGGAGATAAAAGCGTTGGTGAATTTTGGAAAAATCACGCGTTTTTAAATTCTACTCGCCATATCTTTCCGACTAAGTATATTTTGAATCCGAAAACAGCGCCTTGCTCAGCTCATCAAAGCGAATCTTTTTATGTAGCGTGTCCTTGATATTTCGATTTCAGTATTCTCAAATCTTTCTGCGGACGTCTTTTCGCGAAGGTATAAAGCAGCGAGCGAGACCCGAGTAAATTCCAACAAAAATCTTTTGATTGTACTTTTTCTGTAGATTATGATGTGCTAAATAGTAGTCGCAGATTTCTTTCAAAGGAAATAGAACGGCTGGTGAACTGTGGAAAGATCTTGTCGTCCCAAATTCTACTCGCCATAGCCCCAGGATACGAAGCTGTCTTGCTAAGCAGATGTGAGTTTCGAAATCAGCAGGACAGATAACCTCCACGAGCAAGTTTTTCAATATGTTTGGGTTATTTCGTTTTTTTTTCGTTTTACGCTTTGGAAGCTCGCCGATGGATTTTGGTCAAATTGTTGATGCTCTTGAATTGTAAAGAAACTTCGCTTATAGAGGTTTTCGAGCACGCTCTTTACGAACATCGTGGCCTTTGAGGATTACAGGGTCTTTTTGGAGAGATATGGCGAGGTGACTGTAACTGCATCACGAAAGTGCGTAAATTTGCCCGCACTTCTCGCGTAGTTGTAAGAAAAGTTGCCTGCTTGCTTTTCTAATTTGAGGTTACTAGGAACTGTGCTATCAAATAGTGCATGACTCAGGCTCCAGTCTGTAAAATTGGCCGAGTTACGAGCCCACGAAAACATGCCCTCATGAATTTTGGCCAAGTAAAGATCGCATATTTCGTCGAAATTACTCCGCGGGCGCTTGCACAACACGCTGATCAAATCTTTACACAGCTTTAATGGATCTTATTGTGTTAGACTTGGTGCTTTGAACTCTAGCCACGAAATAGCTTTTATATCCAATTGAGCAGCTGAAGCACACGCAAACCCACATTCAATACAGTGGGAGTCGTTGGGCAAAACGAACATAATATCCGCAACGAGCGTCATACAAGCACTCACGGTGGAATTTCGACGAAATAAGTGGTCCTTACATTTTGGGCAAAATTCATGAGGACGTGCTTTCGTAGGCTCGTAACTCGGCGAATTTCACAGACTGGAGCCTGAGTCATGCACCATTCGATAGCAAAGTTCCTAGTAACCTCAAATTAGATAAGCAAGCAGGCAAGTTTTCTCACAACTACGCGAGAAGTGCGGGCAAATTTACGCACTTTCGTGATGCAGTTAAGTCACCTCGCCGTATCTCTCCATAAAGACCCTGTAATCCTCAAAGGCCACGATTTTCGTTAAGAGCGTGTTCGAAAACCTCCATAAGCGAAGTTTCCTTACAATTCAAGAGCATCAACATTTTGACCAAAATCCATCGGCGAGCTTCCAGAGCGTAAAACGAGAAAAAATGAAATAACCCGAACATATCGAAAAACCTGCTCGTACAGGTTATGCGGCCTGCTGATTTCGAAACTCACATCTGCTTAGCAAGACAGCTTCGTATCCTGGGGCTATGACGAGTAGAATTTAGGACGACAAGATCTTTCCACAATTCACCAGCCGTTCTATTTCCTTTGAAAAAAATCTGCGGCTACTATTTAGCACATCATAATCTACAGAAAAAGTACAATCAAAAGATTTTTGTTGGAATTTACTCGGGTCTCGCTCGCTGCTTTATACCTTCGCGAAAAGACGTCCGCAGAAAGATTCAAGAACACTGAAATAGAAATATCAAGGACACGCTATATGAAAAGATTCGCTTTGATGAGCTGAGCAAGGCGCTGTTTTCGGATTCAAAATATACTTAGTCGGAAAGATATGGCGAGTAGAATTTAAAAACGCGTGATTTTTCCAAAAATCACCAACGCTTCTATCTCCTTCGGAGAGAAGCCTGAACCTATTGTTTAGCACACAATAATCTACAAGAACAGTATTATCAAATAGTTTTCATAATTCTTCTATGTTGGATACGCGCTGCTTCACATATTCGGGAAAGGATCTCCGCAGAAGAATTTCAAAAAAACTAGACGGATCGAAGACATCGTACCTCCACTTTCATTAAAATCAGAAGATTCTCCGCGCCGAGCTGAATGGAATGGTGGCTTTGGGTTTAGAATTCGTACACTCTGAAGCGAGATTTGGCCACACGACGGTGATGCCCATACATGTAGCGACACGTCCATACATGTATGTACATTCGCGTCTATTTTTCAAAAATGTGAGCGGTATTGTACATTTGGCAGCCTTTACAAGTCTTACCAATTCTGTGTTCTCTTTACAAGTAGAAAACAAGCTTGATTAATGAGCTCATTAGTAGACGATCTAGGAGGAATAAAAGTGAAAATTATCAGATTAGATATAATATCATAGTAGATCTACTGCAGAAGAATGTTTACTAATGGAATCCAAAAATCTATTGGTGTCGATCTTGAATGCCCGCTGATTTGGGCGCGAAGCAAAGTGTGAATGGAGTATTCGTGCGTAAGAGCTTTTAGGAAACAATTATGTTGCGAACAACAATAACGAAGCTACTAACAAGTCTGGATCTCAAAACCACCTACGTACTTGAGGGACATTGCATGTGTACTTATACAATTCATTTTTGCTTTATTTCATATTACGAAAGAAAATAAATGGGAGGATTTAAGGTTAGAACTTTAGCTGTTCTGCTCTCGTCCGCAAGAAGAGTTCTTAAAACACAACGGTTTTGCAATTTCATGAAGAAGAAAGCCTAGATTGAAGTGTTCCTTGAAAATCGTCCTCTGTGGTGTCATGACCAGAAAGCGAATAAATCGCACACTCGATAATGTAACTTGAGTCCTTCAGAATGGGAAAAAAGTGTCCCTTGTCATTTGTTGCATTTCAGTTTACAGCTATTTTTATCAACAGTTTTTTCCTAGGCTCTGGAGTATATGCATTGAGCACTCAAAAGCATCGACCCAAGTCCTGGCACAGATTGTCTGGAAGCAGGACGGACTTCGTTTTCGGGACGAAAAAGCAAGGGGGTATTGTTTTTGTGGGTCCGAAAAACAAAAGTTAGGTGAAGGTTTTTTGACGACGTTTCCGATAAGGGTCAAAAGGACTTCGTAAAATTTTGCGAAATTCAGGAGATATCGTTTTCAAAAAGTTTAGAAAGGAACTCATGCAAGGTCCTGCATCAATCGTAATTAACGACTCACCTGACCAAGGAGCCCAAGTCGTATAAGTCACTAAGCTCAAATTTGAAGAAAGGTTACAAAATAGGACATGAAGAGCTGTCTAAAATAAAGCGTGACGGGTTGAGAGACAGTAATGAACAGTTTTGACTTTTCCAAAATATCGAGGTTCCCTGTTACTCTCTATCCACTAAATCCTCGTCTTTCTCCCACAATGCTTCCGAATAGCAAAGCTTCGAGGATTGACTTAATTCTGCTATTCTTTTCTGGAGACTGAAAACATAAAACTAATGGGTAACTACATAAATTGTGAAAATGGGGTGGTTAATTGAAATCTTAGAATAGCTGGAAATTTCGGCAATCAGGAAGAGTGGATTGTCTCTTCAATAACCGCAGAAAAACGGATTTCTTTTGGCACGTTATGTAAGCAAATTATGTGGCTGTGACTATGACTAACAAACACAGTTGGCAAACATTTTCTTATTTGCTGTTCCCCAAAAAATTGTTATAAAGCCATCTCAAAAAAAAAGCTCAAGTTGCCTAACCCGACATTTTGATAATGTTAAAACATATGAATTTTATAATCCACGAAGAGAGTACTCATTATTCCACAAATGTTCAAATTTTTAAATAAAAATTAAAGCACAATTTTGACTCCAAAGTGACCTCGTGAATGTACTGAATTTTACACTTATCCATCGCGGCATGTCTTGAACCTTTTCGATTTATAATTAATACAGCGCATTTTTCAAAAATTAAACCGCTGTGCTAAAACGAAGAATGAAATAATTTAGCTCTTCCCGTCTTTCCTTTCATATATTGAGGAATTCCTGTAGAGCCTGAAGGTCTCTTATGTTTTGTTTAAAGGGAGT